GCGTGCAAGAGCATGCACTAGCCTATTTCTCCTCTTGCACGCCCTGTTTAAAATTGTTCTCATAGCTCATACAAGCTCACTGTGTCCACACACAGCGGGAACTATATAGTGAACTTTATACTGTACGCCGTTAACTGACCATTCAGACAGATGATCACTACTTTTTGCTGCATTGTTCACGTAACTCCTCCTACGCCGCGCGGTGCCTGCGCCATCTTTGTTATTAGTCGCTGCTGTCAGGTAGCGACAGCCTGTGGCGACAGCAGGCCGCTGTGTGAGTAAATCCCATAATGCTTTGTGAGGAGAGCTCTCCACGAAAAGCTGCCTCTTCTGAGACCTTTTTTTTTTTCTCACACACTTCGTAGACACTTTTTCTCTTACGACCCTCTGCTGTTTTCAAAGAACCACAGTGAGAAAGGTGAGCTTCAATGACTGTCTGAAACCATTGCTCACCACAGATATACGCCTGAAAGTGCGCAGAAAAAGATGGCGAACAGGACGAACACGTAGGACGGCCTTAGGTAAACATATCACCAGGATGATTGACAGTTAGGAGAACCACTGATTTAGATGATCCATCTGGAAGTAAACGATTGTCTATACCTTGAAGTTGATAACCTTGAAGCTTTTGTCCTGAAACAGATTCAAACCTGGGAGTTACTGACTAAAAAGAATATAAAAACATTTGGAATGAGTGAAACCAGGAGTAGCTGATAGATGAGGAGATTTTCCACGTTTGGAAAATATCTATCAGCAACCATCTATCTTCTGGATCTTCATCCTAGAAGGAATAAAGCTGCTAATTTTCAGAGTCCCTCTCTGGCTTGTGATGACAGAATAATTCCACCCAGCCACGCCGAGCAGGGTGCAATGTGCAGAGTCAGAAGTGGGAGTACTGTACTTACTCGCACTCGCTGCACCTCCAAGAAGACGGCTCTTTGGAAGGATTTCTCCCAGATTGCCAGGTCGGTGGCCAGCTCCACCCGGAAGGTGTGGCTCTGACCGTGGCCGACCAGAATGCTGAAGCAAAGCGACTCGCTGCTGTCCTGCTGCTCAGGAGAATGTTCCAGGCCCAGGTAGAGCCGGGCCTGCAGCCAGCAGTCCTCCGCCATCCACAGCTGCAACAAACACATGGTTTCATCATGTGTTGGAGAAAAGCTCTGGCTAATTTCTCTCTAAATCTGAAATCTGCTTTTCGTTTCTGTCCTGCTATGAATACTGTTCTATGGAGTTAACTTTATGCCATTATTGTTGCAAAGAACAGAAAAATGCCTGAGGAGTAACTTTGCATTCTTCAATTCTATATTTCAAAACTTTTTTTCTTTCCAAATGATTTTTTTTTTCTATTTAATAGAATATGAATTTATGAAATTTGTAAAAAGAAAAAAAAATTAATGGAAACATTTTTTGAGCAACTACATTTTAAAATAAAATCTGACTAACTCACAACGTTAATTTAAGAACTCTTTTTTAATTTAGATTTTTTTTTTTTTTTCATTTCTAGATTTCATTTTTAAATTATTTTTTATCTTCAAATTTTAACAGAGATTTTGTTTCATTTTATCTTTCCGGGTTTTTTTATTGTTTTTTTTTTCATATTGTGTTTTAACAATCATTCTCATAACTAACCTTCACTCTGACATGTACATAAACCAATAAAAATATTGTTGATAACGTCCATTTAGACCAACAGAAATGCGTCTTTACTCCTCACTCCATAGGAAGCCCCAGAAGTTAAGAAATAGTAACCTGTTAAATGCCATTTTAAAATAAAGCAATAAAAAAACTCAATTTGAAGTTTGAAAAAATTTAAATAAAATAAAAAAGAGAGTATAAAAATGTTAATATTAAAGACAAAAGGGAAAAGCTATGACGGAGTATTAGGGCCAGGCTGGAGATTTGTTTTTCTTCTCTTTCGAGAATAAACTAGTAACATTAGGAGAAGAAAGTCGTAAAATTAAGAGAATAAACTAATTTTACGATTTAAAATTTAATATTAATCTTATAATATTACAACTTAATTCTTGAAGTAGAAAAAATAAATCTCTAGTCTGGCTCTAATACTCCGTTGTAAAAAGCAACAACCTGGAAATAAGAAAATCTGAGCAAACAGCAGACTTACTTTCAAAAATCACTTTTTCAAAGTTCCATCTCTGGATTGCATTTTTAAAACTTTTACAAAACCTGTTATTTGCAACAAAAATGGAGCAAACTTCACTCCATAGTTGATGAAACATTTCTTCAAACCTTCCAGACAGTAAAAATTACTAAATAGTTGTCTCCAACATACCTTATGAACCTTAAATAGAACCTCATAGAGGTTATACGTCGTCTCGGCTTGTCCCCAGTCAGGGGCGCCAATCTGAGGACAATAAAAACAGTTTGATGAGTGCGCTGGAATGGAACAAGCTTTCTGGCGCCTCAAAGGAAGGTTGGAGGCTTGAGTGTGGCGTTCAGGAGCTGCCCGGGATCCTGCATGAAGAAAAATGCTCATATAACAAAAAGAGGCTGCAGAATGACAGAATGTTACTGAGGTTTTAAATTTTGTTTTAAAAGGAAGAAACATTTCAATCCATATAGTGGGGAAATCTGGAGCCAACGGACAGAGATTAGGTCTCCTAAGTTTTTGCTAATCTAAGATGAAAATCTAAACGTACGAGAAATCTT